ATCTCGACCCCATGATCGGAGACCTCGGCGTTGACCGCCTCCTCACCGCTGACAACGACACCAAACCCGGCACTTCCGCCCGACACTTCGGCAGCAAAAGATCCACTCTTTCGCAAGGCAGCCTCCCGGACCTCTCGTCTTCGACAACTGCCGGAGCCAGCCCCATCTCCTCCACTTCCGCCCCTCTATATATATATAATTAAAACAAGTGAAATTTATGAGTTCTTTGGCATTCTATTTTAGGAGCAAAAGTTATTGTGGGGAATGCGTACATGTGATTGGCACTTATCTTATTTTCACGTAATATTTTTTGCTATTTTTAGGAAGAATTTAAGCAAAATGTAAATTCTATCAAATAATTTTTTAAGACTTTAAATTCTACTAATTTAATCAATTCCATCTTATTATTAATTAAATTTCTCATTCACAGTATTTAATCAAACACCCTAAAAACATTTTGAGGCATTTACATACATACCACAATTCTTTTGCATTTAAGTACCTAACACTTAAATTTTCATATATATCACTCCAATCTTTAAAATATTACATAAAAATTACAGCCATCATTATATTTTCTTTAAGTGAAATACACATTTTCATGCATGAATTTATGATATAAACCCCAGTGTTATAAGTGTAAATAGCAAACTACTACTGGTGTTATATATGAAAATGAATAAAAATTGTGTCGTATGTATCTAAATTTCCCCAACATTTTTTCTAAAAAAAAAAAGAAAAAAAAAGTGTAATAAACTCCTTTGGCGAATTTAATCAAACACCTTGCGTACCTTGCAGAAAAACTCGGCTCTTCTCCATTCCACCTCTCCTGGGAGTCCCGCCTCCGAATCGCCAGAGGAGTGGCCAGAGGCTTAGCTTACCTCCATGACAAGAAGTTCCTGCATGGCAACCTGAAGCCCAGCAACATCCTCCTCTCCTCAGACCTCGAACCCATGATCGGAGACCTCGGCGTTGACCGCCTCCTCACCGCTGACAACGACACCAAACCCGGCACTTCCGCCCGACACTTCGGCAGCAAAAGGTCCACTCTTTCGCAAGGCAGCCTCCCGGACCTCTCTTCTTCAACGAACGCCGGAGCCAGCCCCATCTCCTCCACCTCCGCCCCCCCACCATACCAAGCACCGGAGTCTCTGAAGAACCTGAAACCCAACGCTAAATGGGACGTGTATTCGTTCGGAATGGTGCTCCTGGAGCTGATATCAGGGAGAGTTTTTCTGGAGGTGGAGATAATGCAGTGGAATGCTGCTGCTGAGGAGAAGAAGAAGGTGTTGAGAATGGTTGATCCGGCGCTGAGAGGGGAGGTGGAGGGAAAGGAGGAGGTTTTGTTGAGTTGTTTTAAGGTGGGGTTTGGATGCGCGGCCATGGCGGCGCAGAGAAGGCCTTCCATGAGAGAAGTGGTTCAGGTTCTGGAGAGGTTGGTGGTGGCTGCAGGGAGTTCGAGTTGATAGGGGAGATCAGGGAAGGTGTGTAATATATAGGTTGTTGTTAGTAGTATTGTACTCATTGTGAGTTAGAACCAATGCTGATTAATGGTTTGGCTTTTTCTTTTATTTATTTTAAATTGGTTTTTGTGTATGTGTTTGTGTTGTTTTCTTGATAATTTTTTTGTATTTTAATGTTGATGATAATGGTATTTAGGAGGTAGGTCTTCATGGATTAAATTCTTTGTTTTGGTGGGTTGGTTGGTCACATTATCACAAACTTTGTGGCTTATATTGCATTACACTTCGTTTTTATTTCTAAAAAAAAATAATTAAAATTATATAATATTATATATCTCTCACTTATTTTTTGTTTTTTATTTTTAAAATAAATCATATTGTCTAAATAACTTTTAAAAGTAATCTTATTATATGTTTTTATTTCTAAAAAAAAATAATTAAAATTATATGATATTATATATCTCTCACTCATTTTTTGTTTTTTATTTTTAAAATAAATCATTTTGTCTAAAAAACTTTTAAAAGTAATCTTATTATATTTTTTACTTTTGTAACTAATTTTTTTCTTGTCTTTTTCATTGATCTAAACCCTGATATGAGTATTAATTGCTTCCTCAAGTGATGCTTCATAGATGAACCAACATAGAGGCCTAAGTCCACCATGTTATAATGGATTGTGAGCTCAAGAGGCATTGTTAAATATTCACATTGAACCCCAATCTTGTTATTTATTTATTATTATGTTTAGGGTAGGGTGAGCCTCAAATTTAAATTTTGACTTACATGGGAGGGTAAACCCTACCTCAAGAAAAGAAGTCAAGCTCTTCCCCATCATTCTCTTTATTTGAAGGCCTTCTATCTTCTATTTTTTTGTCTTTTTTATTTGGATGGCCACTCAAAAGCTTTATCAGCATGCTCACAAGACAACTACATTTATTCAGCTAACCATGCTTCTCTTGTATGGAATTTTAAACACAAGAAATAACAACAAACATTTGGATTTCGAGCTATAGCAAATGCAATTTCATATCAGAGATATATAATATCAAAATTCTTATATGTACATGTACTTTCCAAAAAATTAACCCTATCATTAAGATTATTGGCAATGATATGCATCACAAATTTGCTTATGAAGTAGATAATTAAGCTTTGATTCTTATTGAAGACCTTCCCAAATGCTTCTTCAACCCCGGACAAAGTGTAGTTCCAGCCCTGAGCATATGATACCATCAAGCCTTCTTATATGACAAATCAATGGCATAATCCGTCTTCACATGCAATTTGATCATCTTCGATTTTAAGTTAGGATTGAATCCAATGAGCTTCTCCTAAATTATATATCCAATAAGATATCCTTGAGCTTGCTCGCAATCTTTCAATTCAACATTCAAAGCTCAAGTCTATTCGAAACAAGGGCTATTGATCTTAGACATCCGTAAAGTCTGCCCATTTTATAGCTCACAAGTTCCATGAATGTTTGGATAGTATAGTTAATGTATTATAATTCTTTATATGATTTCTTCACTTAAAATTAACCATTCTTTACATTACATGGCTATATAATATTCATTTTAACTCCTCTTTACTCTTAAAAAATTGTCCAACTAGCAACCAAGTTAAGAATAAACTGGAGGATAACATCATTACATATACAATGTTTAAATTAGAGGTATATCGAGGGATTAACCTTTTTAGGATAAGAACCATCCATGTGTTCTTCATTATTTGAATAGTTGTTTTGAGCCAAAATATGAGAAATCAGATGATCTTACTCATTTAATGGTTTTAGGTTGATAACAAAATATAGTTATAATTTGCAATGAACTCTTTAAAATTAAAATATTCATCAAATTACTATCATCTCAAGCTTTTATATTCACAAACTAACCTCCTGCTACATGTAGCATTCATACATTATCACCTATTTTATTGTGGTACAAGTTATTTTCATATTAACACCTACAGTAAAAAAACATGATGAACAGACCAATCTTGCATGATTCTCATTTACACAAACTTATAGCTAAAATCATAATTTTGATAATACATAATTCATCGTTATTAAAAGATGAACCAAACAATATTTAGATCTAGTGCGAAGAAGGATCAAATCATTTTCAAACATTATCAGATCCATCTTCAAACATGATTGAGTATATGCTCAACCATCATTCATTTGTACATAATTAAAACTATTTTTGCATCCTATTTGAATTATGATTATATACTATTCAAATAATGGTTAAACACATGGTTTAAATAAGAATTGAGCATTTGCTCTAAGATGTTTGAATCATATTCAATAATGATCCAAACAAGATGCAAATATAATGCACACATGTTTAAAAAAAAAAAAACATCATCAACATAACATAATTTATGATGTACAATAAAAAACTAAACAAATTAGTATACATGAATATTGAAATTATCAACAAATGAATAAATGTCCAACTTGACTAGCACATTTCCCCTAAATAAGGAAAAAACTTAATGGCAACAACAAAATAAAATAAGGAATACATTTTTCCTATATAGATATAGTAGGAGTACTTCAGAAAATAATAAAATTTTTTAGGCATATTTTCAAAAATTAAAATAAATATTATTTTCTATTCATATTTCTTCTCAATTTGGTATCATAAGAGATAAAACAAAGTTGCTTTAAAATATCCTCACCTATACATACATCCATACATACATATATATATATATATATATCATTCATTCATCAAGTGAGAGATCAAATGGAGACGGTTTAACAATTGGTCAACCAAAGAGTGGACTGCTAATCTGAAAGAGAATTTTAAGCACAACTTCTGATGTGACCATTACCACGTTACCTATAAATGAAAAAAATATATTGCACTTTCTAAAAATTGTAGTGGCGAAAATTTTAATATGATTTAAAAGTTTTTATTATAAATGTAAATAATTAAAATTAAATTTTAGATATGTAAATACATAAGCTAAAAACATTGCTCCGCACGTAGAGTTATGTGTCCGCACGTAGAGTTACGTGCGGAGTCCAATGAAATCATGTTACGTGGAGGTGACAGAAAAAAAAATCAGCCCAATAACGCAGAAATATTCCCCTCGTGTTATCCCTGTTATTCAGGTGTCATTGTGGTCTTAGAATATTCCCAATGTTATAATAACACAATAACATCTGAATAACACGGGAAAAATATTTCCTTGTGTTACCAGGTAGATTTTATATATTTTTTTTCTCACCCGTCACGTGACAAGATTTCATTAGACTCCGCAAGTAACTCTACACGTTGAGCCCTAATGCAATATTTTCTCATACGTAAGAGCTGGTTGGTTATACGTAAATGCCCCTTCAAACTATATCATCTTCCTATTTGACTATATTTTTTCATTATATACTTTAATCTATATATATAATGCACACAGCAGCATTAAATGACTTAACTTTCAATAATAACTCCACAGATCTTGCTACTGCAGACGCAATTAATTATCATAAACAGCTTCAGACAGCTAAATTGTCGGCCAAATCAAATCAAGATCTAATGCAAAGAACCCTAAATATTCCTATTCACCGCAATAAAATAGATAGATTCCCTTATAAATCCAGTTTTAAAATTTGTACTTTTAAATTTATACCACATATTAATAAATTTAATCTATTCTTAAAAATTCACTTTTTCATAACTCGAGTCAAATCAGAAAAAAACTTTAGTTAAAAAATTCTAATTAAAATTTAGTTAATATGAGTTCCAAATTTCGTAAATTTATTGTAAAAATGAGAAAATAAATCAATTTTTATATTAAATTTATTCCAAAATAATTTTACTGAATTTTAAAATTTATTCTTTATATATATTTTAAAATAATATATATATCTATATATATATTATCTTACCTACTCATGAGTTGGTATATTTTATTTTTTAAGACAAAACAATAGTATTTTTGATGTGATATAAATGATTTTGGTGGTATGAATGAAAATAAAATAAATAAATTTTAAGTATTAGATATGTGAAAATATATGATTTGGGAGGTATATTGGTATTGGGCTGCAAATGAGCCGAGCTTGAGAGAGCTTAGGCTTGGGTTGTATTCAATTCGTTCAAAATTGGCTCGTGTTCAAGATCGCTCATGAACATCGTGTTCGTGTTCGACTGATTTATATATTTTGTTCGTGTTCCGCTTGTATTCGATTTAAATTTGACTGGTTTAAATTAACAATACAAATAGGTGTAGATATTTGAATTCAAACCCACACCATTCTTATGCAATAAAAAACACAAAACAACATGTCCACACGAGCTATGCTGATTTAAACTTAGATATAAATAAATATATTATATTATTATATAAATAATATATATAATTTCCTTACTTTGAGCTAAATCAAGCCGAACGCGACCTAACAAAGAACTGTTCGTGTTCAACTCATTTACAATTCAAGTTTAAAAAATATGTTTGTGTTTGCTCGCTTAACAAACGATCCGAACACACACTACTTAAAGAGCTGAATACGAGCTATTCGTGAACAACGAGCCTTTTTTATGGCCCTAACTGGTAAGTATGCAACAACCCCCCAAGATTTATGCAATTAAAAAAAAATTGCAGCATGATAATAATAAACATGATTGTAATCCTCACCCCTTAATTAATTCTAACTAATAAGGTAACGTAGTGGAAAGGGTTATAATTTACCTCTTGCATTGAAGCCTATATTTATGATCCTGAGACAAAAGGGATCGCAGGCAAGGAATCAGGAAGAGAGAAATGCAGACTTTGGCCGACCAAATATGCTGCAATTCCAGCAGTAAAACCAGCAAAAGCAAAGCCGCTTACCTGATACAATGTTATTATATTTAGTTAGCTAAAGCTAATGAAGCAGATGCATTTGAAGCACATGTTCAGTGAGATCAAATAGAAAATTGAAAGATTTACATACATTCCCCACTCAATCCCTATGTATTTAAATGTCTAGCAACTAAAATTTGCTTTTTTTTTTACATGTTTAGCACCTAAATCTTTCGTCTCACATCAAACATACCACTATTTAAAATAACACTTTTTCATGCATAGATAAGGTGGTATATATGTAAAAATTGAAAGTTTAGATGTTAGATCTGTAAATATATAACTAAGGCGTAATGTAAATTTTCCAATAAATTATTCAGATAAAAATGCAGCAGGAACAGCAAAAGAAAAATTAAGAAAATTTCGATATCAGAAAAAAAAAGGGTAAATTTCTTGCAACATTAAAAGACTTTACTAATATATCCGGCTTAGTCAATAAAATTGAAAAGGAAGATCTGCATACATATCACCTAATTCCTATGCATTCACATATCTAACACCAAAACTTCAATTTTAATACATATGCCACTTTAGCTATGCGTGAAATTGTCATATGTTAATATCCAAATGAGAAAAGTGTCAATAATAGTCCAAGGACTGTTTACATGAAGTCCTTTTAGTCCTAGAATCTACTATCAAATCAGTCCTGATACTCTCTAAATTGTGGCTGAAATAGTCCCCATGACTACTTCAGTCCATACAGAAAGAGTACGGGGATTAAATTGATAATGTTTAGACTCTAGGACTAAAATGACAGGAGTCCGGATACTATTTTGAAACATTTCTCATAGTCTAAAGTGCTATTTTCATAACTTGCAAATGCATACCTTGCGAAGATACCAAAAGAAATCCACCTTCTCCATTCCCATAAATGCAACTCCGGCCGCAGATCCAATAATAAGCATTGAACCTCCGGTACCCGCACAAAAGGCAACAAGCTGCCAAAAATCAGCATCTCGAGGGAAAGAAGTAAGGTCGTACATTCCCATTGTTGCGGCGACGATAGGAACGTTGTCGATAACAGCTGAAACCACTCCTATTGCAATAGCAATCAATTGCGCACTTGGTATATGCACATCAAGGTAATTAGCCAGCTCCCTCAGTATTCCAGCAGCCTCCAAGCTATAGAAGAATATCAAGAATCAATAAACACATCTTTAGAGCGAAATATTCAAGGGCTTTTACAGATATATCACCAAATTTCTTTGTATTTACGTATCTCTCTCTCTCTCTCTCTCTCTCTCACACACACACACACACACACACACATATATACCACACAAATCTTTCATATCACATAAAAAATACCACAATTTTAACTTTTGAAAAGTAAAATACAACATTTCACGCACAAATAGGGTGGTATGAAAGTAAAATTTGAACTTTAGGTGTCAGATATGTAAATGCATAAGAATTGAGTGCTATTTATGTAATCTTCAAATATTTTTTCAGTATTTCTAGTTTCTGTAGCTTTTTTTCCTGCACTGTTAAGGGGTTCTTCTAAGTGGTTATGTGGTCCTATCGATGGCCATTTTAGTCTACATTTATATAAGTGATAAATCAGTCCCCAGGCTCTTACAATAGGGGCTGGAATGGATATCCGATGAAATTATATTAGTCCATATGCCTAAATTGACATTTTGATGTACTATGGGACTAAAATGACCCCCTCTCTAATGAGTCAAGGGACTATTTTGACAATTTTCCCCTTATAGAAAAGCTATGATTTTAGATTATCTAGCCCTAGTACTAACTTGAACTTAGTTAAATGCCCCTATTTATTTTTCCTATAAATAGCAGAGTGCCATCTTTATGAGATCAGAAGAATTATGGTTGTAATTATAGACAATAAAACCATAATTAAATCTACAACAGCATCAACATGACATAATCTTCAATTTAGCGAATTTGTATAAAATTCTCAGTGTTTTTATAATCTTCTTTTATGTTTTCTAATCTTTTTGGCACTCATTAACTGTTGTGAGATATGTACTTCCTGACATAGAAATGAAACGCAAAAAACACAAGCAAACACAGATCGTTTATGTGGTTCGATCCAACTGGATCTACGTCCACAAGAGGGAATCGATCAAATAGTTCACTAAGGCAAAAGAAATGGAGAATACATAGCTTATACATAGAGATGAG